AAAAATATTTAAAAAATATACTTAATTGTTTTTAAACATATTTTTATTAGTTATTTAATATTAAATAACAACCACTAACTATTATATAACCAAACAGTTATATTTATTTAATCCGCAATTTATTATTCATTAGTCGCTTTTCACTATCCATCATCCGCTATTTGTTATCCACCACCCGTTACTTGCTACTTGCTACTTGCTACTTGCTACTTGCTACTTGCTACTTGCTATTGCTATCCGTTATCCGCTATCCGCTATCCGCTATCCGCTATCCGCTATCCGCTATCCGCTATCCGCTACCCGCTATCCGCTACCCGCTTTCCGCTACCCGCTTTCCGCTACCCGCTTTCCGCTACCCGCTTTCCACTGCTCGCTATCCACTATCCGTTATCCGTTTTCCATTACCCGCTATCTGCTATTCGCTACCTACTATCCGCTATCCGCTAGTTGCTATCTGCTATCCGTTGAATTTTAACCGCTATACCAAACATGCCCTTAATAAAAGTAGGAGCCTTCAAATGAAAACGTGCAATTTGGACCTTTGAACTTGTGGAGAAAGATTTAGAATAGAAAAATATTATATATCCTATTATATAGGATGAGGTTATTGTTACATCTAAATAGTTAATGTCATATTTTTTAATTTAATTGTCTATTATATATCTACATCACAATTTTCTTTTTCAAAATTCTATATTTTTTACTTCTTAATAAATTAAGGGATAAAATGATAAATTTATATTAAAAAATATAGTATTAATAATTGAAGGTATGATAATAACATCACTTAGTTTTTCTTACCTAGCAGAGAAAAACTAATTTATTATCAAATATTATCATAATTTAGGGTATTTATTTATATTTATAATTCATTAAAATCAATCAAATAATAGTCAATAAACATAGTAAATGTCTCCAAAAGGTATATCTTAATTAATAAAAGCAGGAGACTTCAAATAAAAATGCGCAATTTGAACCTTTGAACTTGTAGAGAAAGATTTAGAATAGAAAAATATTATATATCTCATTATATAGGATGAGGTTATTGTTATAT